ATTCCATCCCTTTTCAAAATGAGGTATTTCTTACAAATATCCAAGTCTATTGGCTCAAACCTTTTAATTACATAGAAACTCTTTAGTGCCGATGTTTCGAACATCCGAAACAATCCGCCTTAAGTTCTTTCCCCTTCATCTATAGCCTTGTTGGATACGCCATTACTTGTGAGGTGAATATAGTTAATAATGAGAGACTTAAGTCACTTGAAATAAAAGGGTCTAACTATAGGAAACCCGATCTTTCAACTGGAATACATATTTCGTAAATATTGTGAGAGGACCTTTTGACTATTATGCAAGAGCAGCAAGACGATGGGCCAAACATGAAAAAGGAGGCCTTGACACAATGTCAGAACGGATAAAAAGTATCAGATGAATGATGAAGTCTCGCATCAAAGGTTGAAAGGCAGTATGAAATCCATATATTGGATCCTTCAGTCTTCCACATTTTCAAAAATAACTTGAAAATTAGAACGATTACACGATAAATATTTATTGGTCCCTGCCGACAAAGTTGTTACATCTTTGTTTGCAATCCTTATTATTCAATTAGTAAATAGCACTTCAAAATAGGACCATTTCCAGCTTAGTTTGGACTTTCAGTAAGGCGTGGCATTCTCGACGTTACATAATTACTAGTAGCTTCTGAAATTCTTACAGCTTTCCTTCACTGTTGAAATATAGAATAGAAATTCGGACAAATGCCAATTAGTGTATCAAATAACCAATTACATTGTTTCGTCCTGCAAAGAGGTGAAGGTTAAGTCATCTCATCGTCAACAACAATTTAAAGTTTCTGATGTTATTAATTTCTTAACTAATGAGAATCTATTCGCCATTTGACAGGCGGTAAACGTAGCGCCGAGAATGCCACGCCTTACTGAAAGTCCAAACTAAGCTGGTAATGGTTTCTATACTCATATAGGTTTTGTGGCGCAGTGGTCATAGAGTTTGCTTTAGAGCAATTGAACAATTCTTGGGGGAGGATAAATAAACAAACAATACACTTACTAAGTTCCCTTTGCTAGACGGAAATTCTTCAAATCAACATGTTAGTTATATGTATTTTAATTGAATTTTGAATTACCATATTGATTATACTGGATTAAAAAAATATATTTCTAAAGTACAAGTAAAAAGGGAACTTGTACATTCCATATCTCGTCATGAGTCATCAGCATTTTTTTTTTGTTAAAAGCAATCTCATCGTACACACAAGTATTCTGAAAGCGACAAAAAGATGCTTGTTGATATTATCTATGATTCTTTTTTGGTGATCAAGTCATCCAAAATACTGTTGGGTTTTCCCACTCGTTCTAAATAAACCCCACTATAAACAGTACCATTCTTGTATTTGAGCAGAATTTATTCTTAAACGTAAAAGGATGATTTCTTGCTCCGACCATCAGTTCGACATTTAGATACGCCCTACACATTATCCAACCTTTGGAATTTTCAGAGTTCGTATTTTTTTCTCTTTCCAAACATCTGTATCTTTTTGCGTTCTTGATTAATTCAATATATTCACAAATATTACAGGGTATATATTACTGACCATTGAAGAAAAAAAGGTATCCATATCTTTCTAGTTAAACAAATATATGAGGTCTTGTAACGTGCATTGCTGGCTTCAGTATTATACAAATAAAACTACCACTTAAGAATGTGAGATTACTGATAGAATATCAATTTCATAAACAACGGCTATTAAAAGATCAACGTAAAGCGCGTGTCTTGTATTTTTTGGTATTTAGTGATTTCACACATTTAAGCTGATGGAATTGCGTAGAGACTGTCATCGGAAAAGCTTTGAGCACTAAACATGTTAAAGGCAAGTCATAAAATGGTTCACACTTCCAGTAATTTCCTTTTGGAAGCACACAGCGGGGGTGACCGGTCGACAGTGGATGCTTAATCCTCTATGGCACCCGATTCCAGCTCTGATGTTCTAAAGGTCTTTTTTGGCTTAGCTCCTAGTTGGTATCGTTTCATTGGATTTTGAGCTTTATAACAGTTTGTTTCTCTATATTTCATTAAATTTTATGCCTTGGGACATATTAGGTATCAAATATTGTGAAAAAGAAGTAAGAATTATGAAATTTATTTAACTTTACGAAGAATAGTAGAGCTGGGGTATCGGTATTTTGTGCATTAACATTTCGAATATCTGACACCTAGGTCACGGGTGCTTGAGGACAAGACTTTTACGGTAAAAATAAACAGGCCCTTTTCCTGCTTTTTTCTTGAGATAATCCATATCAACAAATCGAAAAAAAATGTATTTTTTGTTTCTGTTTTCGAAGGGATTCTATACTTATATATTGTATGTATTATATAATAATTCAAGATCTATAGAAAAAAAGATACTCTAACTTAAAAGAAAATTAAATAAATAAATAAAGATTTAAATTTCATTTTGTCACAAAATGAAATAACGAACATATCTTGTTACTTGTATTCATTTCTTAAACGTCGTCGATTGATTTGATGTTGAGAAGAAACTGATGTATCAAAAATGCTCCTCAAAGGTTCATTTTTTGACATATACCGGGTACCTTATCGAACACCAATTAGTTGGGTCTTTGTTTTTTAATACTAAATCTGAGTAGAATTTTCAAGGTTCCGATTAATCCCTTTCCCTAAGATTTGCATTTTTGTATTTTTAAAGATCATAGTTGATTCGCTATCTTCATAAATATTACAGATTATAACTTTCCGAGGATTGAAGAAAAACCGCATTTATCTGTCTTGTTGAATACATACACTAAGTATCATGTCTTGAAGACAGGACTTGCAATACTGGCTTCTGTATTATACAAATGAACCTAACACGTAAGAAGCAATATCAATTTCATAAAACAACGGCTATTAAAAGATCAATCTCAAGCGCATGTCTTGTATTTTTAAGTAATAAGTGTTTTCACACATTTAAGTTGACGGAATTGCGAAAAGACTGTCATCGCAAAAGCTTTGAGAACTACGCATGTTAAAAGCAATTCATAACAAAGTTCACACTTTCAGTAAGTTTCTTTGAGAAGGACACAGTAGTTGTGACCGGTTGAGAGTGTATGCTTAATCCTCAATAGCAACCTATCCCCCTCTCACGTTTTTAAAGATTTTTTTTGCTCCGCTCCTCCAATGGATTTTGAGCTTTGAGACAACACACTTTGAAAAAAATACGCATTTTGTAAAAAAATAAAAGTGCGTTAAAATTAAAACAAATACAATGCACTTTGAGAAATATTTTAAAATGGGTCAAATTTGGGACGTAATCAACGCACTTCGAATTCTTTTTTTTTTTTCAAAATGCGTTTAGAGTATATATATCAACATTTTTTTTTTTATCATGGAGGCACTTAACACACTTGAAAAAATATGGCAAAACAAAATTTCCGTACTAAGATTTAGTTATACATTATTATTATTTTTTCTTTTATTTCTTTCAAAAAACCGATGAATTCATCTTATCTCATCGAGAAGAGGGGAAGGCAGAAAAAAAGACCCAAAGCCCATTTCTTTATCTTTCATACCCGTATGTGCATTCACGTTTCTCTCAACGTAAAATTAATTTTCAAAATGAAATAAGCTTTCCTTAAAATAAATGTTAGAAAAGGCCATGATGTCTTCTTGCTTCTTCTTGATGTCTTCTTGCATGGGAATTTACATTTTTTTTCATTCTTAATGCTTATCAAATTACTATAAACAAAGAATGTTACTTTGTGTTGGAAAATTAATTGCAATGAGCATATTTTGTCGCATATTTCGTACCCCTAAGGGTCCTTTGTAAAACGTCTACTTAGTATATTTCAGATTATGAAGTGAAATAATCACAGAAAAGTTATCCAAACAGGTTGAAATAATTATCATATTTAATATTTTCCAGTCGTGCAAATTATTTATTTCAAAGTTCATTGTTATTAATGCACTTTGAAAATAAAAATGATTATTTTTTCTTTCATAGTGCGTTAACTTGGTTCCAAATTTAATGCACTTTAGATTTTTAAAGTGCTTAATTTTTTAAAGTGCTTTGTAACAGAGCTTCAGAGCTGTTCATTATTACTGATTACTGATCTAGTATCAAAGAAAAAATTAAAGAGGTAAGAACTATATATTTAACATCTTTTAGGTTTAGAAAGATAGAATTGTGATATCGGTATTTCTTGCATCGTTATGTCGAATATCTGACGTCGAAGTCTTGGGTGGCTCAACCTCAACCATCTACTGTAAATTATCGCTTTTTTCAGCTTTTTTGTTGAAATAGACCATATCAACAAATCGAAAAAATTGTAAATTTTTGTGTATTTTTATGTTTCTATGAGTATACTGGCATGTGGTGCATCTAATTTACAACAGTAGAGATCCATAGAAAGAAAAGTAACTCTAACTTAAAAAAATCTTTTAAGAAAGAAAAAAAGGAAAAAAATTCCATGTATAAAAATGCTTCATGCGATGAAATTGTCAACATATTTTTGCTTTATAAATATGTATTCGATTGTCAATAGAACAATAAGATATAAATACATTACAATGAAATGAATAAAATTCAAATTATTACAAACTAATTAATTTGTTGTTTTAAAATAATTAAATTCCATAAACCGCAAATGATGATGTATAATATCATTATTACAAATTAAAATTACACACTGATACAGTACGTCTATTTTCTATATTCACTGGCAATTTCTAATCGTATATTTCTAAAATAAACATGTAGTGAAGCTTTATTTTCAATAATTTGGTAAAATAATAACATAATTTATGTTATTATTGTACCCAATTATTGAAAATATTATAATATTAATTCAATTCGTCAATTCTTCGATTTAAAAAAAATGAGCATTTCTTACTAGTTATACGTTGCACATAAATTACATAATTATTATGTTATGATTATTGCACATTTTTAATGTTCGACACTTATAGGAAAGACAATATAAATTTAAACATCTTGCAACATTTGACAATTGGAACACAAAATACTTTATATTAAAAAATATGAGCTGAATCTTTTTTTTTTAAAGACAAAAAGTAATATATACAATTATAGGACATATGCATGAGATATAATACAAAGCAGGAATAAATGATCATTTTTGGCTGACCATTCTAGCAGTATATGACCTTTTGAATACGAACTCTCACTCTTTGACTGGCATAACCAAACACAATCCTGTAGGGTACAGCTAATAATAAGGAGGTGAAGATTCTATACCATTTAACACTCATCCACCACGGAATAGCATGTGTTTTACCCCAGTAACGCATCACTTCCTGCTTGTATTCATTTATTACCACTTGTCTAAAACATTTTGAATTTTGTGCTATTCTGTTGTTAGAAATTGAAGCAAAGTTACTCCAAGCGTGACTGAACTTGGTTTTGGTAATGTCATCTCCACAAACAATTTTTATAATTGTTTCTAATATCACTGGTTTTTTCAAGTCTATTTTACTCTCTACATCTTCCAGCTGTTTAGGACATGTGACGTCATCACATCTTGTGTAAATAAACTCCTTATTTATGTCCACATCAACAACTTCCTCATCAAAACCTCCAAGATGATATTCTATATATTTAAAGAATATTTTTGGATTCGTCTGTAGAAGCATTCTTACGTATGACTTGCAGTCACTGCTGTCAGGTAAATGTGATTTTTCAGGAGAAATTGTGTTTTGATCTGGTCCCCTGAGGCATCGTATGTTAGACACTATTGATTGGTCAGCATAGTAGAAAAAATATCCAAGAAATCCACAGAATGTGAAGACAGGAACAACTGGAAAAAAGGGAATAGTATCTAAGCATTTATTGTTGACGAACATAATCACAACCACTAAAATCAAATAAAGGAATATCAAAGAAAACACAGTGCAGTATATCACTTTTAATGATCCCACCAGCTCGAAGAAATCACAATCGGTAAACACGATAGCCCCAGATTTCTCTAGTACTTTTCCTCTTCTCTTTTGCTGGTCATAAATTGCGTTTAGTAGCATTACTAAAAACATGACTGCAGGTAGCTGCAGATCTGTAGCTCTCCGAAAAAAAATATATTAATAGACCGGAGAGCTACAGAGCCACCCATTGAAAAAACTTATATTCATTGCGCACAAAAAAGTGCACTCGCTTCTCGATTTATTTCGCCATGTTTTTAAACCTGTAATTTCAAAATATTACTAACCGTGTGTTCCTAACATATTCTTTGACTCTTTCCACAACAAAACATTCCTCATAATTGTTGTTAATAGTCCTTCTGGCCCTGATATTGCAATCATCGAACATTTTGCTTATTTATACTGCCATTTTGGTTTCAAAGATAATTCGGTCCAATATGCTTCGTTCAAATGTCAACTACGAGAGAACTTGATAGAGGAGAGAGGAAATTTTTGAAATCTTCCATTTTTTGCAACTGAGGTAAGAATTTGGAAGAATTAATCAAGAATCGAGCGCACTCTTTTGTGCGCAATAAATATACAGTTTTTTCAATGGGTGGCACTGTAGCTTTCCGGTCTATCAATATATATTTTTTCGGAGAGCTACAGATCTGCAGCTAGACTGCAGGAAGCAAACCTGACATAATACATACAAATATTTTAGCTAGGTTTGCTTGACTCTCACAGTCCATGTCCGAATAATTCGATGAAGTTTCGTTCAAAATCATTGTCACTTCGATTCCAAACTTGTTTACCAGTCTGTGTTAAAAATGATCATTTAAAACACGTATGACATCACTCATGCATTAAACATATGCTAGTGCTTTTTCTAGTTTTACCTATCCTGTGCATAAAGGAAGTAAATGACTGATTGGTATTTCAAGATTATTTAAATAATCTTGTAAAAAAAAATCCAAACACACCCACAAACTACACATACACTTTGTGTACACCTTTCCCAAAATACTAGCTGTTCATAATTATATCTAATGTGATAATTAGAATTTCTTATACAGTACAAATCACATCAAACATTGCCCATTTACCATACATTTTATGTTTAACAACGAAAGTTGCTTTCGCAATATTTTGAAATTTTTAAAATTCTCCTATAATACTTAAAAAATTAAGTGCGTCTGTAAATGTTGGTACTGTACATTGAGTTAATCCTTTGAAAAATTGTATAATGATGGGGTTTTTCTTTCAGAATATTATCAATTTAAGCAAAAATAGCATACATAAAGATAGAGCTTCCTTAAAAAGCTTGTTTTACGTGAGCAAAATTTATTTTTATACGAAGATTTAAGACAAGTTGAATCCAGCGTAATCAACTAAACTCTAAGTCCAGAAAAAAAGTTTTTTTGCTATCCGGGGAAATGAGGAGGACCCCCCCCCCCCCACACACACACACACCACCCTATAATGTGGCGATATATTTCATGTTATAGAAAACATAGGTACTTTATGTCCCATGGATCATGTAAAAATAATTATTGCTTGATAAGGACGCTTTCCTTGATAGTGCGCCCCGAAATTGGTTTTGCACTGCACTCCTTTGTGAAAATTCATCCAGCTGATATGATCCTGAATACATAAACATAACCGGTGCTTTAGAAAGAAAATTTTACAACATAAACATCTGAAATCTTAACATAAATTGATGAACAATTGGGATAATGATAACTTTTTTAAAATAATAAACTTGAAACAAGCTACTTAAGTAAGCTAACAGTTTTGGATATTAACGAAAAAAAAATGCTTATCCGCTATCATCTTTCATTTGGATATTTTTTGACAGTGAATAAATTAAATATCTTCAATGTCAGGAATATCATGTACAATTCTTAAGGTAGGAAGACTTTTTATTTATTGAAAATAAACATCAATTAGTTAATCTGATAAGGATATTCAACAAGTGTTAACTTGACTAGTTTCATTCCTGCTGTTTTGTTTGATAGACATGAATGATAGTGATGCAGAAGAGAATGGCTAAATGTTATACGTGTAATGTGAAATATATGGTAAAAACGAGCAGTATTCAAGCTCAAAAGTCTATAAAACACTACAAAATAAGCCGTATTTACAACTATTACATTTACATGTAAGGTTAGGTTTTTTTTTCAAAATGAAAACATCAGGACAAATCCAGGAATTTGTATTTGATGGCAGTTAATCAAGCGTACTTTTAATTAATATTTCTTCGTTGATATTGGAGTCACGATTCACCTTTTTGTCAACCAAATGAACTGTTTTGCAAACCCCGAACAGGGACATGAAAACTACATCTCCCATGTTTTAAATAGTCTTTTTTCCAAAAACGTACGCCTTCTCTACTATTAACCATTCCTCACTTTGGTTGAATATTTATGCCATCCACATAAGTTTTCGTACGTGTACATTTGATATTTCAATTTATTGTTGAGTTTAATAGAAATCTTTAAAGTGTTGCATGAATCAGATTTTTTCCTTAGAAAGGGAAATTAAACTATAAATTGAATTTCACTTGCAGACTTAAAAAAAATTAGACTAAAATTATGAGCCCAACAAACAAATACATTGACTGAGTGAATGTTGTTTCCTGCTATGTAACAAAATACATTTATTGCCTGAGTTCGAGGGCAACATGCGTTTTGTCGGACCCAAGAACCAAAACTGTCTGCCTGAGGCCGTTAAGCCGAAGGCAGACAGTTTGGTTCGAGGTATAAAGTAGATATAGTTGTGAACGGATTATATATTATTATATATGAGTTGCGTCAAGCGAAAAGGGACCTTCGTGACCAAATTTTCGAAAATCGGTTTTTCGCTGTTTCTGAAAGAGCTAGTTTTTCTGAATATTTTGATACCAAATATTTTATTATATACCTTCTAAATTCTAATTAAAACTCCAAATGAAAATAATGCAATGCTTACAGGATAATGCTGTGAAACGTTGAATAACGTCACATAACGTCAATGATAATTGGAACGTGCAATGTGACTACTAAATCATTCTTTTGTGTTAGGTAGAAATATTTTTTCACTAGATGTATTTTAAAGTTTATTGAATATTTATTTCTCAAAATATTAGCATTTTTATAATCGTATACAATGTAAAATAGTAATAATTTAAAGGTCGTTTAAGAAAATATCATCTAAATGTACATGTATATTGAAATAATAAAGTAAGTAGTTAATTTTCAAGGAGTATATTCAATGACATCATCGCACCTTTTTTTCTACATCATCAACATAATCATGCTTTAATCACTGGTGTATTTGAAAGGATCTTTGACCAGGGATAGACCGCTGACCATTAAAAAAACAAAAAAAGTTTTACTCTGAAATCATCTCGCAAGGCATTCGTAACAACACGGCCATTTTCCAAGAGAAATTATTTATTGTTGACGAAATTGACCGAGTAACTGCGACTGCTCGCAAGGTGGTAAAAAAGAATATCCAACATCACTGTTCATGCAAAAGGTCTTAATGATTGATCAAAGGATTATTATTATTAATTTTCTTTTCCGGTATAATCAGCAATCCCACCTCCACAAAAACAAACCCTTAGGCAGTACCTACATGTATATTAATAGTACTTCCCTGAACTAAATTTAGGGGGTGGTTTGGGTGCAACCTCCAGGCATTGGAATTTTCTGCCTATCAATTATTTAACACTTCTTTCAAAAAAGATTTCCCTTAATTTTGTTTCAATTGGAAATTATATTGAAATGTGGAAAATCTCTCAATTCAAAATAGAATAAAAGTATTGTTACCCCCCCCCCAAATGATGTTACTTGCCTGTATATGACAATAATTTATGATGCTAAAATTCAATTAAATATACTGGCTTACACAGAGTATCAATAACTTATAGCTACTCTAAGTGGGTTTGTTCTGACAAAAAAAAAACTGTGATTCTTCGGCAAATACATCACTGCAACATCAAAGCAAAATCTAAATTTACCATAAGTCCTATATGGTACAATATTGTCACTTAACCAAATGTACGAGTATATACTATTAACAATGAAAGAAACCAATTTTTTGAACATTTGATAAAGGTAAATATTGTCTGTTGTACAATGTAAAAAAATGTGTTTTTTATTCTCATTTTTGAAAAAAAAATAAGGAATTTAATTTGTTATGCACTTAAAAATACCGATAAAAATGCCAAGGTTACGTACATATATCTAGGCTTGATGCAACACAATCAAATTCATAGTCAGACGTTAAACTTAACTTTCAGAGTTTACTAAAATGGTTAATGTATAACTTTTATGTGCCACGTGCCTATTCACGAGTTGGTACGTTGTTTCATGCAATATTTTTTAACCTTCAAGTGTCCCGGATGACAATCTAATTTACAGATACTGTAGAAGTACTTTTTTCCGCGTGGTATTAATTTACGCTATGCCACAAATTTTCCGCGGAAATTTGTCCAAGCGTACTAAATATAAATGTAAGGCATATAGTGACAGTCTAAGAAATCCGCGTAATTTTCTACTCGCGGATTAAACAGAAATTGAGATTCCGCGGAATTATGACCCCGTGGAAAAAAGTACGTCTACAGTATATAATTTAAACATTACCTGAATAAACACACTCATGCACAGTTACATATTGCAAATTAAATAATCAGTTAAAATTCATATTCAGTGTCAATGAGAACAAGATAATATATGTTTAGATGGAGTGAAATGGGTCTCACTCCTGAAAATCCAAACAATATACAATATATACACGCTGTCATCAGTAAAAATTTCCTTAAATTAATTCTCAGCATGTGGTTGTAAGCAAAAGTTTCAATTATTTGCTTTTTGTATTTTTGATAGATATCAAATTATGCATAATAAGCACAGTCGGTAATCTTCGGCTTACTCCGCTACATTCGTACACGATCCATCCGAGGTGCTCCGATTGATATATGTACGCCATACCCCCCCCCCCTCCCAATGAAAAAAATAAAGTCAGAATTAATGATGATTATAGGATATCATTCACAATACGTACTAGTTAAAATTAAAATAAATCCTAAATTTTCTTTCTTATAATCAGGATATGATCAGTTGCCACTTGGGTAATTCTGAAAATAAAAATGTCAAAATTTCTTTTATTCCTGATTGAAAAAAAAATCATATGCCGTAAAAAACAGGCATAGAAAGCAACTTCTTTGTGGGAAAGGGCTTAATAAAAGGTTTTTACAGAGATAAAAAAAAAATATAAAGAGTTCACAAAAATAAGAGTCCGTAAATATAAGCATTGATTTTACAATCACAGTGTAAATTGAGAAGGGGTGCATAGCTTCCCAGATATCAGATTATCTTGATACTCTGCAAATATCATATTTAATTGAGAAAGAATACGGAACTATCGAGGTTTGAAAAAAAAAACAAACTAAAACACTTTTTTTCTGATGATGTGAATTTCAAGACAATGATCCGGTACTTCATTCATTGATCAAATATGTGAGCGATGTTTTGTTTAGAAGGAGGGGTGGGGCGGGGATATGGTGTATGTACCAGTGTTTTCAAAATGGTGTTGGTCGAACTAAGAAAAAGAAATTAATAATAAATTAAATACGTAAAAACGAAAAGGAACAAGCGAAATCGAAAAGAAAAATAAATTAATTTAATTTAATTAAGAGAGAATAAAGAAAATAAAATCGGAATTTATCCTTGAAAGGCTTCCCTTTCCTTAGTAATACAAACGAGCACATCCAAAGACGGGGGGGGGGGGGGGGGTTAATCAACTATTTAAATTACAATTTTGTCTGATTTAATAC